GTTGGTAATAAAGATGATCTTATTACATTTATTGATGTTAAAACTTCTAAGTTAGTTCCTTTTATTTTAATTATTCAAAATAATTTCTTTTTTTTCTTGATATAGAATTATACGAGAAGAACAATTTCGTTATGAAGTGAATGAAATATCTTGGGATCGATCAGGAAATCTATTTGCTGTTACGACTGGGCATGGTTCAGTTGTATTCTTTGAGTAAATTAATAGACTATATAAGATTTATATATTAAAATATTTTCTTTAGTGCACCTGGTATTCAAAAAGAAAAAGATAAACCTTTAGAAGAATTACATTGTTTAACAGCACATACAGGCAATTGTATTTGTCTAGAATTTGATACAACAGGAAAATATTTTGCTGTTGGTGCAGCTGATGCATCAGCATCAATCTGGGATGTTTCTCAACTTGTTTGTCTTACTGTTCTTACTAGAATTGAATGGGCCGTACGTGGTCTTAGTTTTGGTCATCAATCACAATTACTTGCATTAGCTTCAGAAGATCCTTATATAGAAATTGCTAAAGTTGATACTGGTATATATAATTTTATTCTATGAAACTTTTGTACAATATTTTTTGGTTTTTTAGGTGAACGTGTATATGCATTAAAATGTGATGCACAAACATTAGCAGTGGCTTGGCATCCAAAAGCATCCGTTCTCGCTTATGTTCAAGATGATGATTCAGGAAGTGTTCGTCTATTTGGTGTACTTGATTGATATATTATTTTTGTTATTTGTTATATATATACATTGTAATAAGAAATAAAAATTAAAAAAAAAATTGACAGTATATTTAAAGCATATCTTTCATTTCTATGTAGGATCCCATTCGAGTCAAATTAGCAGGATATTTCACATGTCTATACTGCAAAACCAAAATATTCACTAATAAAACTTCAGTTAATGTTAGTAAAATGATTGTTATAAATGTTACATTCAATTGCATTGATAAGACAATAATTTCTAATAATATCATTGCACAAATAAGTAAAATAAGACAAATACGTCTATATTTATGACGTGCAAATCTATAAGCAAGTGGATAAAGAGATTCAACCATCGATAGAATACCTGCACAAACACCAAGTTGATTGAGAAGATCAATTGATGATTGGTCCGGAAGCACAAATCCATAGCAAACAGCGTAACTAGCAGACATATTGCTAGGAATAATTGGTTTATCGGGTTCACAAATGAAATTATATATGGGTTTAAATGATGTTAGTTGTGATTTAAATAGATAACAATTTGGTGTTCGATCAGAGCATAATCTTGTGGAATATACATGACGAGTTGAAAAAATACATCCTTCAATAAATACTAGAATAATAACTAAGAAACACATACCAAGTGCAAATATAAAAGGAAGACGACTCGATATAGTTTTAGATATTTCAAATTGATCATTACATACATCAATAACGGCATAGTCGTCACCAATATTTCGTACTTCTTTAAAGCGAAATACAGATTCAAGCAAGATAACAAGTCGTCGAAGAGGTAATTTAAGTAAAATAATAAATCCAACTAAAATGATGACACAAACTGAACCAATTGATATTGCTAAATAACTGCCATATGGTAACATCGCTTGTATAGTATCGAGTGAAAATGAAACTCTAAGAAAATTAATAGACATGATACGATAGAAAAGGTGAATAATATTCTTTTTTTATTTGATCAGACATATGATTAGCGTCAAGAAATATTCAAATGCTTAATCAAAATGAGAAAAACTTAGATCTGTACTACCAATTTAGTTGAGTCAGTAGGTTGAAAAACGAAAAATGATATAGAGTATTTTAAAGGTAAGCATATTTTACCAAAGATAAAAGATTGTGACATTTTTTGTTTATTATTCTTATCTATTATTAAGAGTAATCGGCTTGTCCACGTAACGCGACACTTCGCCGATCAAGTTTTTAAAATTTGTTTTTTCGAGTTGAACAGATTTGAACAAGCTATTAGACGCAGTTTTTAACGCTGATTACGAATCTGTGATTTATTTTATAAAAAATTCAGATTTTATTATCAAAAACTGGGTTTTAAACTTTTGAAAAATCGTATTTCGAGTTTTCTACCCAAGAAATTTTTCCAAAAATTTGCGAGAGACGTATCATTCAATGCAGAATTGGATTCTCTACAAAA